AATTTCCCCTGTGACGTCCGCGAAGACTTGATGCGTGGTCAGCGGCGTTGCATATGAGCCAGTCAGTAACCGCCGAGTCGGTGCCACTCACGTAAATCTCAATGTACGAATCGATAGTTAATGTAGGAAGCCCTTTTCTCACTGCCGTGGTATGCGTCTCGTTCCGTTATGCCAAGACTATCATTGTGACACTCGTCTACAGTTATATTGATACTGGACAGAGAGGCTGCAGGTCGTGGCAAGCCACGAAAAGTATTGCCGGTAAGTACTGTGTTGAACAATTTTTGCTTGGACAGCCGCCAACACCAAAAGACTGTCAGCTCCATGGCTATGTAACAAATAGTTTTAATATTCCTCAATACCATGATAGACGTTTGACTAGGCCCTCATCATCGAAGAAAGATCATTAAGATAGACACGATCCGGGTTGAGCTTTGTTTTGCATGGTTTGATAGTGGTAGGAGTAGGTAGTCTGTTGTCAGAATTGGGTACTATGTTGTGATCCAATCGCCTACCTCGATGCAACGGACGCTTGGCTAAATATGGAACAAGGTTATACTTTTTACTTAAAGTTGTCTTCTGCCGACATATCAACATCGTGGACAATCCGCCGGATAAATGGTACCCACGTGTCTGATCCATCGGGGGCGAGAGGGAGAAGGGACAACCGTACCTGATCGACATTTCCGTCCAGATTACTCTGAAATTGGTCTATTGATGATACAGTGGCAGTACTACTCCAGGCGCACTGAGCTCAACTGCATGTGGTGTATGGTGTACTGGCGTGGTTAGTAACTCATTAAACGTGTTGCTCAAATTCGTCCAACGCGCCGGGACAGATGCAACGGAAAGTTAACGTTTTTGCAATCGACAAGAGATGATTTCCCTATTATGACCGACATCTTGGATGACCCATTTTGAATTAACCTTGTATGAGGTACTCTACAAGTGCATCACTTTCCGTATCTGGCCCTTGACTGTTCCTCTGCCACCAATCAAAACTTGGTTATGCGTCCTGCACGGACACCGCTAGTCTTCTCAGTCATAACACTTTCGAGTTCTGTCATTAGACATCGAACGGAGTCTAGACTCAGCTGGTGAAGTTCGAAAGAACTGGCAAAGGGCTCGAGAAGACGATATCAACTATCAAGCTGACGCTGTATCGAGGGTGAGGCGTTCTCGGTGAGGGGTAGTAACCATCAATTGAGGCTGCAAGGACCGTTTCATTGGAAACTCCTTTTTGGATGTATGTATCCTAATGAGGCTTGATGGATGCTGAGTGTTAGTCAAGTCACACAGGGATGGCACTGCATGCACCTAGAGAGGCCAGCCATGTGCCGGGAGCTCGGTATCAATACCACATCCAGAACATCGCGGTATGAAATCCGCGAGTTTGGCATTGTGTTTGCACAGCATAAGCTTGATTCTCGCAAAGCGAGCAGTGGAACGGCTGGATGCAGTGAGACACCTATATGATGACCGAGTAATGGCCTGATTCAGGCTCGATTCTTGATGTTACTCGATCGGTCACGACGCACCACGTCTTCCAGCTGCTAGAGACCGATCGAAACCAGATCCATTGACGAATCAACTGCAACTCAGCCGCAGAAATACCCCTTCGGGAGTGGAGGAATGAGCTCTGGACAAGGCTTGGCGAGCATCCGGGTGTGGGTTGGATCGCGCATCGGGCTCTCAGACAAGATGAACCGTGCCGGGCCTTAGTGTCAACGGCTTTTTGGTTTCCTCTTTTGTTTTGTTCTCTTCTATTGGATGGCGTCGCGGGCTGGTGGGCAGCCTAATTCCAACTGCAAGCCAAGACTTCATCCGGAGCTTGTTGCACCGGTCAACATCTGAGGATCTAGGTAGCAATCTCGAAGAGCTGAAATGCGCCATGACATTGTTCAACTTCATACCGACTGGCAAGAATCCGTCCCAGACGCAACAATGGTATGACGGGCGCGTTTCCAGCCATCTGTCCTTAATCCCAGCCCATCAGATGGGGTAGGGCTTGTCCCAGAGGTCGTCCCAGAGGTCGTCTCCATTAAGCTTCAATGTTGACAACGGGCATATGACCAGAAACGGGAGTTTGGGGTCGGTCCCGGTCCCGACCAGATGCTTTTCTTCTGTGGACTGCAAGAGCTGGGGAGGGCCAAAAGTCCTCTTCACCGGCAACTCCCAAGGAAATGCGGATGTCGGTCATTTGTCCGCCGTCGAACCAATTATAGGATCGACGCAGTTGCAAGGATTGGGGGAAACCCAAAAAACCTGGGGTAATGCAGGGCCAAGCGATGGAACAGTCCGGACCATTCGAAAACCGTTTGTGGCTTACCAGGTACCGAACGGGATTGCATACAAATGCCATGGAGAGGGGCGGGGTATTTGATAGAGATGTTTTCTTGGCTGTAAATGAACGGTGGCATGCAGAGGAGGTACAGAAACACTGGATGTGCATATGTGCACTGGCTGAATCTATAATCATCCTCCAACCGCATCTCTTCTTTTTGCACTCTTAATATGTGAGTGAGTTTGCTATTGTTACCATTTAGGCGATTTATGCGATTCATTATCCAGTATAGGTAACGAGTAAGCGCTGGCTACATTAGCAATGCAACATGTACGACACTTGCGGAACATGACTGTGTCTGTCACTTGCGTAGGTATCGGAGACGATTCAACGGAGCTCCGAACAGTGGTTCAATTGTTCTTTCTCTATGCCCAGCTCTCAGCTGGCGCGAACGGAACTTACAATCAAGACAATTGCTGTTTGCTATCAAAATTACTCAGATGCTTCCACACTAAGCACGAATGATCAATTGAACATATTACATGGGAGATTGCGTGTAAGACTAGAGTAACACAAAAATCAATTTATATCGTCGTTGGTATATCCAAACAGTGTGCTTCGTGAATATCCTTGCTGGTGTCCTAGTCTCTGTTTTGCTTGTATCAGCCTCGGCGGAAGCTCACTTAGGAATCAATTGATAGATCTCCCTCCCTTTCCCCAGAAAACGAGATGACCCAAGTCTTGCATTCTGCTTCTGGCCGAGGCACGAACTCGACCTCGATATCATTATCGGGCTGATCCATAGCCTCTGCCTGGGAGGATTTGGCAGTTGAAGGCATAGTCCACGGCTGAAATTTTGTTGGCCGGATGTCGAAGCGTAGTATGAGAAGCGCCGCGAGCATCAAGATCTCGCTCGTGGCAAAGTGTCGGCCCGGGCACATGGTCGTCCCCCCACCGAAGCCGCGGAATGCCAGGGGACTGGGACGCTTGCCTCCCGCCTGCTTCAGGAAGCGCTTGTGGTAGAACTCGCCTACATTTTCTCCCCACACGTCCGGGTTGGTGTGCTGCGCCTTGGCCGACATCATGACCAGGCCTCCTTTCTTCAGCAAGTATTTACCGTCGAGCATATGGTCCTCGGACACAACGCGGACCGAGTTTGCCATGCCGTGGTAGCGGAAAGTCTCGCGGAATGTAGACATGAGGACCGGGCACGAGTTCAAGATGACGGTCAAATCGATCGTAGACGTGTCATCCGAGCCATGCTTGACCGCTCGACTGACCTCCTTTCGGCAGTCCTTGAGTACTTCTGGGTCACTGAAGATGTGGTATATCACCCAAAATGCGGTAGGGACGCTGTTGGCCACGGTATTGAAAATGGACCCGACGAGGAAGCGGGCGATGTCTGCCTTGGGTGTCTTATTGTCGACGCACCACTGCACGTACTTCTGGATGTATACGGAACCCTTCTCGTAGCTACCGTTGGCGTAGTATTTTGAAAAACTATTCACAAGACATTCGCGACCTCTTACGGCTGTGCCGAAAAACAATTTTGGTGGAAAAACCCCCAACATCATGTACATCAGTGCCGGATGATACTTGCTACATCGTTTGTCTTAGTAAAATACGGTGGAATGATGGATGCGGTACCTACTCCCAAGCCATCAAGTTCTCCGTATCGCGCATAGGGTTTTGCGGCCCAAAAATGGCATCGGTCGTAGCTCTCATGATCGTGCGGCTGACCCATTCGAACAAGTTCACAGTTTTTGTGCTCGAAATTTGTCCCAGCATGTCATCAAAGACCCGAAAAGTCGCGGTGTTCAGCTCGTCCAGCCCCAGCCCGCCGCCGATCGCGGGGTGCGTGGCCTTGATCATGCCGTTGATGAAGCCGTGCTCCGTGACCATGTCATCCCTCATAATGGCCAGCGCTTCATCGCTGGAGCCCATGGCCGCCTGAGCCGCTTGGACAGAGATGGGCCCGAAGATGAGGGTGCGCCACTGGCGTTGCACCATGGGGATCAGTTCCAGCGAGTTTATCACGTAGATGCGCGTCCCGGGCATCCTGAGGGTGTATATGGGCAAGTCGCGGAATTTCTGCCTCATATGTGGGTAGAAGTCCATGCTCCATTTCACCATGCCCAGTATCGGACTGATGAAAGGGATCGTGCTGAGGACGACTGGTGGTTCTCTGCGGTCCTGGGTCAAATGTAAAATCGTGAGAAGGAAGACATAAAAGGCCCCCACGGCACAAGCCGCGGTACCAAGCAGAGCTATTGCCATCGCGACAAAAGAAGAGAAAAATCCCATGGACTACGATTTGGGCCTCAAATGTTTGATCCGATGAGACTAGAGAGCTCAAATGGGTCTGAAATTAATCTTGTCGACCGAACTTCATACCCGCCATCGCTTAACGTTGGAACGTGGCTATTTCGAAATGACAGATCTGTCGCCATGATGTGGTGAATGTCAGCCGGTGAAGGATTTTGTAGAATTTCGCGGCCATGATGAGAGCAGCCAAATTTGGCTCGAAATTGTTGGACGAGATCAATGGTAGCGTTATTGTGTCATTGTTGGCTGCAGGATGTTGCCTATCGCATGTGGCTCTCTCCAGGGTCAGATGCTGGGCCACAATATCCCGGGTAACTCCGCACAAACGACCAAGGGCTGCAAGTACTGACTGGTTTAACCCATCGTGAACTCGCAATTTGTCAATCAATTGGGTGAGATGGCCGAGCGGTCTAAGGCGCTACGTTCAGGTCTTCCTGAGGTCAAAATCGTAGTCAAGTAATTGGCGTGGGTTCGAATCCCACTCTCATCAACATGTATTTTTGCCAGTCGGGCCATCAAGTGAAAGAGCACGATCGTCAGCCATCTCGGCTCGGTGCAGCAGCATATCTACGAGGTAGTCTAGTTCATGAATGTGACCATGGAGTCAGATCCAGTGCAAAGAGGCTGGTATTTATGCTAGAACAATTATTTTGATCCCCTAAGTATGTATCAGAGATTGGGAAATTACGAATCAAAACGCCATTCTTATGAGGTTTTCCAAAATTGTAAACCAACTGGCGAATTTGCGATTCACTGTGGGTGTGATTTGCTGAGTGGATCCACGATCTTTTCTTAGTTGCACGCAAGGTAGTTGCTTGAACATTTCTTCGTGATCTGTGCATCAAAGGAGATCCAATGCTGTGATTAGTGAAACAAGAAAAAAATCGAATGCTGAACAAGCCTGTGATTTCCAAGCTATTCAAAGACACGGTGCGATAATCAATTGCATTTTGAAGCCATTGAACCAATGTGAAGAGGTACTGAGATACCTGCACATAGAAAAAAAGACCTGACTGATAAGAATCGATAAGCAAAACGGCGCTAAGTGGGACCACAAAGGAAAATTTGATTGGCCGGAGCGGAAGCAATAATTAGCCGGGGCTCTCGATTGTGCGCTGCAGCCAGCAATTTTTGGTGGGGAGCTTTCAATAAAATTTTTGGAGTAGCAGAAAGTCTGTGAAGCTTCAAACCCAGTGTCGCCCTGCCAAATACCCTTTCTCGACAACGACTGCCCAAGCAGCACACTCGGCACCATGGGTAAGATCGACTTTCTCTTGCACGAAAATGCCACTGGCTACGCCTTGTTCAAGGTCGTCAGCCAGCCCGACCGTATCAGCGGCGCCGACTCGCAGAACCTGGCCACCTTTGGCAAGATGGTCCAGCTCGTCAACTTTGCTCCCTGGAGGTGAGTGCAACCTGGATCCGGGGGTCCTCCACGCGCCAGAATTCCAATTGACAATTCTCCCCTTGTAGAAACGCTGCCGACGCTCTCGAGAACATCAACGATATTTCCGAGGGTATCCTGAACGAGTACCTCCGATCCAACCTCGAGCTCAACCTGCCCAAGGCCTCCGCCAAGTCGCCCGTCACTCTCGCTGTTCAGGACAAGAACTTGGGTGGTGCCATCAAGGCTGCCTTCCCCGGCATTGACGCTGAGACTGCCGACACCAGCGATATCGCTGCCGACCTCCTCCGTGGTGTCAGAACCCATGCCGAGAAGCTGTTGAAGGGTCTGCAGGATGGAGATGTTTCCCGCGCCCAGCTCGGTCTTGGTCACGCCTACTCCCGTGGCAAGGTCAAGTTCAACGTGCACAAGAACGACAACCACAGTACGTTGTTTTCACCGCGCCTCGAGCGCGTTACCAGCTTTGCGCGTCGTGCGCATTCGCTCAAGTCTTCAGGTTACTAACTGACCCCGCTAGTCATCCGTGCCATTGCCACGCTCGACAACTTGGACAAGGGCATCAACCTGTTCTCTCAGAAGCTCAGAGAAGCCTACTCGTGGCACTTCCCCGAGTTGTACGCCATTGTTTCCGACAACCTGGGCTTTGCCCGCATGGCTCTTTTCATTGGCGACAAGTCCACCCTGAGCGAGGACAAGCTGCACGAGCTGGCCGCTCTGGTCGACGAAGATGAGGAGAAGGCCAACGAAATCATCAACAAGGCCAAGATCTCCATGGGTCGCGAAATCTCCGAGGCCGATCTCGAGAACATCACCTCTTTCGCCAGCCGCGTCGTTAAGCTCGCCGAGTACAGGAGGTCGCTGTACAACTACCTCACCGAGAAGATGAGCACCGTCGCCCCCAACCTGGCTGCCCTGATCGGAGAGGTTGTCGCTGCCCGCCTCATCCAGAAGGCCGGAAGTTTGACCAACTTGTCCAAGTACCCTGCCTCGACCCTGCAGATTCTTGGTGCCGAGAAGGCCCTGTTCCGCGCCCTCAAGACCAAGGGCAACACCCCCAAGTTCGGTCTCATCTACCACAGTTCTTTCATCGGCAAGGCCAACACCAAGGACAAGGGTCGCATTTCCAGATACCTCGCCAACAAGTGTTCTATTGCCAGCAGAATCGACAACTTTGCCGAGCAGCCCTCCAAGAAGTTTGGTGAGGTGCTCAAGCAGCAGGTTGAGGACCGCCTGGAGTTCTACGCCAGCGGAAAGAAGCCCACCAAGAACGCTGACGCCATGGTAAGTCATTTTCCACCGAAAAAGTTATTGTATCGTCTATTAATCCCCCATCCAGGACCAGGCTATGGCCGATATCCTTGCCGACGGCCAGTCCCTCGCCATTGACGCTGAGATGATTGACGTCCCCATGGCCGGCAACACCGAGGACAAGAAGGAGCAGAAGAAGGAGAAGAAGGACAAGAAGGAGAAGAAAGACAAGAAGGACAAGAAGAGAAAGCAGGACGACGTCGCCGAGGAGCCGGCAGCCGTGGATGGCGAGAAAAAGAAGAAGAAGAAGAGGAAGTCCGAGGCCTAAGTCAAGGTTGATCACCTGACTGCTCTCTTGACCTCCCTTTTATTTCTTCCGACCGGCTTCCCGAGGTGTTGGCTGCTCGGTTATGATCCACGCATGGTTTGGCGTTCTGGAAAAATCGTTGCTTGATTGATGTGTATTACTCGATGGGCTCATACCCCGTTTTCTCTGATTGTGTCTTGGAGCTGTAAGATGCTCTCCTTTGCCGGCGTCCTTGGAGTAGTGGATATAATTATATAACCATTGTTGACCACTTCTTCGAACATGTTTGACAACTCATGGTTCGTGATCGCTATATGCCTATGGTATTGGCAACATGGATGATCGTCGACACGATTGCGCCTGTAAATATACTGATTGCAAATCATAATATTCGCACGAGGTCAGGGGCTGCTACATTTCCACGAACTGAAATCACTCCTCGGTCACGGAAGCACAACCTTGGACAGCGACGAATTCGAGGAGTCGTACTTTATGATGGCAGCGAACGCGTAAAGTAAGAGTTGGAACCTTCGAGTATCACCATTCTGGGTGATGAACGCTTTCTGAAAGTCTTCCTACCTATCCAGAGTGGGTGTACATTCTGCTGACATCTGATAGTAGGCAAAGTAGCCGACAATTAAAGGTTATCTCAAGCTTATCTTCAGACATATGTTTCCTTGGTGGCTTTTAAGGCAGTCGAACCTAGTAATGCCTTGATCACCTACTTGCCTCCCGACAGCCAAACACAGCAACTGTTTGTTTGCAGTCAATTGATGACTTGATCCTAGAAGCTCTCACGGGCCCGGGGCTGGCAATACTACTTTTGCATAAACAAAGTTATGGATTCTAGAGAACGGGCCGCTCAGACTATCTACCCCGGGTGGTACGAGCTGACCGTATCCGTTGTCCCTGCGCAACAATCCGCCTACAAAGGTGACCGACAAGCCGTTGGACCTGTTGCTGCCATTGCGTATCTTGCTGACAACAATCCAGAATCGAGCCCCCAGGAGGCACGTGTGATGAAAGACGGGGCCAGGTCGTCTGTTCGCGGGGGCCCAGTGTATGCGGGGGGAAGGGGGATGTCCATCCTACATACGAGGTACCTCGTACGAAGTATGGACTGCCCAAAAAATTTGGGCACGATGTGACGATGGTCTAAAAAGAGGCATTCGCACGGTTGTGCTGATACGGAGAAGTCGGAACAGAGCTGGTCAATGAGGCACCCAAAGGATCGGTGTACTACCGTGTAATATGTGCCCACCGACCAGATCTTGGCCCTGTAGTATTACACCACTGTGCGTTCCTGGGGGACGGATTACAAAGACTACGATGTACAGCCCGAGTCGTACCGGGAGGAAGGATAGATCGCGCGGCGACTATGCAATCGTGCATACGGTGTAGTCACAAGGAATGTGGTAAGGCTAGGAGTCTCATTTGCTCTGATACGGCGCGACGTGTTCCACGATTATTAACTTTGGGATTGCTATTCCATAGTCATTTGAGTTCTGCATAACGCTTTCACATGCTTCATTGAATTGAAACTGAGAAGATGGTCTCGTGCCAAATATTCCTTCTCTTGTTCAATCCACAAACTCTTCCTGTGCCAGGGACTTTGGTCTACCATGATTAGAAGTGCCTACTTATCTTTCCCATTGCACGTCACCGTAAAAAATACAAAAGGGAGGGGGAGGCAAGGGACGTGTGTGTTCCAACGTTACCCACGAGACGAAGACAATCGCAAACGGTTTATAGCACACTGCATCCGGTATGGCGCAGCGGAGCCCCGAGCCAAGCAAAGCCAAGGTGTGGTTCGAGGGAGGGTGGAGGGCGGGGACCCGGAGGACGAGGGAAGGAGAAACGATGTGCGGGCAAGACGTCAGTAAAACGGGCAGATCCCATACTGCGTAGACGTCAGCCCTCCCTCCGTGCGACCCGTGTCAGTGTGTGACAGCGATGCCCGAAGCCTGAGATCGTCCGATCCTGCGTCTCTGTCACACCGAAAGGTCAGGCCCGTCACATTGTCAATCGCACATCGTCCCGGCGGTATGATTTCATTTTCCATCCTTACCTTTATACTTTTTTGTTAAATTCTCCGAGTGGGAGGGAAGTGTTGCAGTAAGGCCCGTGAGGGAGGGTAAGAGCAGAGTCAGGGGACATTGCGCAACCAGGGGGCCGCCCAAACCCACACACCCGAACACCCCGTTTTCGTATGTCAACCGTCATCGTGGGGTTTGTCGGGGACTCTATTTCTTGGTGTCGTTTGTTCGGGGAAAGTCTTTTCCCCAGAAAATTATGGAATCTTTTTGTTGCTTACCGTCGTAATGATGAATTGGGTAAAGGGGCAGGCGATGATCTTGGCGAGTTTTGGCAACAGATCGGGATCGGCGGCACGTTTGCGTATGCTGTTGTTGCGGCACGAAGAGACGCTGCCAGCCGCGGTCCGAGGAAGAAGCAATTAACTTGCGCGTCGTTACAGATGTAGATTGAATACCAAATTGCTGATGGTCTAATTGTTGTCTAATCGACGATA